GTTTGCAACAGGATCTCCATCTTGAGTTGGATCACCTTGCCATGTTGGACTCCTGTATGACATCGAATTATCTCGTCCAACATGTACACACACTCCCTATTTAATTTGCACATACATAAGTAGAATCATTCAAGGGGTATTCTGAATGTATAAAATACCCTTATAAGGGGCTGCTTTCTCTCTTCTCTACAAAAATCCAATCACACATCATGTCTTTCTTACCATCTGCTAAATATCCTCTAGCAGCTGATTTGTGGCCAGAGAACATTTCATCTATCATCCAAAGCCAAACAGATGTATCTTCCTTGCAACAGTGGGAATGCTTCCCATGCTCCCTTGAGCACATGGTACAGTGGGCTGCTGTAGCTAGAGATCACGCTTCAACAGATAAATCCTGTTCACACATGCTCATATACAAAATGCTACCTGCAACTGAGCAAACAACCATTCTGTATCTGATATTGGTCTGCATTTACAGCTACCTCCATGGGAAGTTTGCATTGGGTGACATTGGAGATTGGGATGAGTATGTACTACATCTTCTGATCCCCTGCTCAGAAGATTTCACATTTCATGGCCTACAGTGATGTAAATAAAGCATCATACACAATGCAACATCTGACTCTGTCTTCAGGTGGTCATTCCATTGCATGGCAAAACCAATTGGACTGCCTCAATCTTGCAGCAAATTTTGCCAGCCATACCTTGAAATTGCCATTGCAATCCATTCAGTTCTACCACAGACTATATTTGCAACATAAAGTGTTCTTTAATGTGATTCAACTGCTGATCACTATCAACATATCTGACACTTTTCTCAGTGCAATGGCATGCAACTCAACAGTGATACAACTGTAGAAATATCTGTAGGCTACCTCAGTAGTGAACAAACTACTGAGGGAATACTAGTAGAAAATACTACAAGTATGTACGCTTTTTGTGCTTATGTAAGCACACTAGCATCGCACCTAAGTACCAACAAACAGTGGCACTTTATGTTCCAACAACAACTCATCAGACAATGAGTCCTACATTTAGTTCCCGATGCCCTGACTTGCCTGCAATGCCAGGATATCCATGGAAATGGAATGGGGCAATTGAATTACTTGCAATGGACAATGCTGGAGTAATATCTCATATTCACAAAATTTCACTTGCTGGAGGTGATCTCATTGAAGTTGATGCTGAGTTTAACCTCATTATCTTGTTTGCCTGATTGTGCCCGATCTCAGACAGCCTACTTATGAGTATTCTTGACATGTAAACAAGTTCTCCGCCTCCAGGAAAAGAGGTCCAACCTTGTCAGTAACTTCTTGGCTTATGCATTTCGCTCTACTTACTATCTACTTCAGATCTCAACAGCTCCTATGCTGGACAGCAACACTCATATAGTCAAGTGCATGCATACTACCAAGCCAACAGTAGAGACTGCCTTCCCACTCCATACCAAGATCAAATCACCTGTCATGACTCCTGAGCTACCAGTAATGGAGAGTCCCATGTCCAATGTGTAAAAACCACAGTCCATGATGATAGGAAAAGGAGTCTACATGGTGGTTGGACTCTCTATAACTCAGCATTAGGTGGTGTTAGGAGGAGTGCCCCTCAGAAGGACCCTATTTTCTCTTTCCTGCATATATAAACTGTATGGTGTCTGATTGTAATTCATTGTTTCCTGTCCACAAAATGCCTCCCAAGTGTGACCTGCCAGACATGAAAGAACCTCCTGCAAAGTGCACATGTTCAGGGACTTCAACTGTTGTTCCCAAGACTATTATCATCCCTGCAGCAAACCCACACTCCTGTCTTGCCTGATGTGATCATGCCAGCATCTCTGACTGCTGACACATTGAAAGGAAGCACTGAGCTATCTTCACCTGCCACAACTGTGTCATCTTTGGCTGAAGATGGTTTGGATGAATCTGCACACACTCTTGGTAGCATCAAGAATGCAGACAGCACATGCTCATCTGCAATGAATGTCGATACTGGACTGCACCTTGCAGAAAAACCAGGCATTTTATGTGCAGTTCAACAGCTACCCAACAAAATTTGGCCAAAAGAAGCTCTGTCTACTACTGTTGCCATGACTGTAGGGGCTATAGTCCCCACTGAAATTGGCTGCTTTATCAATGATGAGCGCATTTCTGGTTGTTCTGAGGCTCTGCAGAAGTACATATCTCCTCCTGTCACTTCCTCACATCTCACCAGAATCTCAAAGCTGCATTTGTGCAATATCATCATATTGCAATGAGCATGCAAATACATATGTGATCATGCATCTTCCCTGGACAGTGATGTGGGGCAGAGCAGATCCCTACAATGACTGTAACAAAGAACTTTGTGACACTATCAACTATGAGTGATTAACTATATGGATTCCTGGTCACATCTCCCATGTTTGGTTCCTAAAGAATGGTGCCCCTGACAACCAATGCTCTGTCTTGGTGTTGCTGCTCTCCAATGTGGTAGGTCACTACATGGATCAGTTAATATGTGGCCTATCCATGCCAGCACTAAGTATGGTTGTTGGATTTGATATCACCAGGTTCTGATGGCATCTCTCAGCTGTGTCCAATGACTTAACTACCATACTGGTGTGTGCCATGTGTTGGCAGAGTCCTAGGAATGGCAGAAGCATATGTTGTTGCTTTTTCTCTCTACTACTATCTCCTTATCCTTCAGAACACTCTCTTCAACTCTGTATATGATGCTCACCAGATTTTACAGGCCAAAAGCACTATGTGAAAGTTCATGGCAACTGATCTCAAAAAGTGGGATCTAGTGGTTTTGGAAACATGCCTCATTCATTATCAACAGAAAGACCTTGGTGGCCATTGGTCCATCTTCCAGGCCCAGTTCGAACTTCAAGCAGTATATCTACTCCAGGATGGGCCTGAAGCTGATGAAGAATGAGTTGAGAATGAGACAGAAATTGCTGATCTTGCATTATGAGACAATGTGCTAGGGTGTTGCTGTAAATTCATTGGATTCACATGATCAGATTAAACTTATGTTGGTTGTTGATATGATCCCAAGAATTCCATCTCCTATACATGTCTGCTGATGGTACTATTTCTTAAGGGCATTGCCAATCTTAAGGGGGATGAAGAGCATATAAATCCCCTCTCACATCTTTTCTGCAAGTACCATCATTCTGAAATTACTCTCAGGTCTGTGTCTGTTCCCTAGCATTGTGTGTCTTCACTGTCCATTATTAGCACTTACATTTGATCATTGCAGAAAAATGATTGTCTGTGCTTACAAACACTTCTGGCCATGCACCACTCCCTATGTCATATGGACCTTTCTAGTGGGGAAAACTTTGGGTCCTCATATGATGTGGATCCATCCTGAGAGAAACTATGATATAAGCATCACCAAAGATCAAGTTGTTTTTCCAGCTGGCACTGTGATCATTTCTAAATCATTCAATGTTGAGGACCAACACTACCATGTATTCTTCAATGCTGACTGTGATCACCATGATTGCAAGAATACTACTTATGTCTTTGTGTGCCTCCTTGTTACAATACATACTCTTTCTCCTTTCCTTTCCTTTTCTTTTCATCCTATCTAATCTCTTATCTTATCTCTCCTCTTCAGACTAGGTCCAGACTCTGGTCCAGACCTCACCTCACTCCTACCACATGTTCTCCTTCTAGTATGTTCTGCTGCGCTATGATGTCATGGACCTCATGTATGCCTCACCATTACCACATGTACCCTGGTGTAAGTACCATTGCTCAATCTCCCAACTGGCTCTAAGCTAGTTCATTTGGGTCTATAAGTCCTAAAGCACTCTGCTTCTAAGCCATTTTCCCTCTTCTTCCTTTTACTTCTCTTTGTGGTTCTTGGTGCAAGCCTACAACAAATCCTGTTGTTAGGTCTTGTCACACTTGAACTAGCTTCTCATCTTTGTACCCTCGCACTGCTCATCACCATTCCTCACTTCCTTCATGAAGGCTCATGGGTGTACTCACCAAGTCCTCCAGCCTCTGAACCTGACCCAAACCTCTTTGTCCTGTTTATCCCTGAGTGTCACTCACTCACCCCCCTCTTTAATCACTCCCTTTACCCCCTTCCACCACCTCCATCTTACCTGTTCTCTGTTGAGTCTGTCTACCTCTGTTCACTCCCTGCTGAACCCCAGCAACCCCACTACAACCTTTGCCCCCATCAAACATTGAAACAACCCAAGCACTATGGACAGAATCCAGGACCAAATAACCAACCTCTAAAATGCCCTCAACACCCTCAGAGATAAAAACTACAGGCTAAATGACAGCCTGAGAACTGCACAAGACCTGATCACAACAATTGAGGGCCAATGTAATCAGTGGAATGCCCTCCCCACTGATGTCATTCAAAGGAGAATAGAAGTGATGGCTGACCTGGGGCAGTACACTGGTGATCATGCCAAGTTCTCAGAATGGTGGGTGAAGATGAAGGTGTGGGTAGCTCAAAATAGGACTGCACTCCCAACCACCCAAGACAAGTGTACTGTGGTGTGGTCTCATATGACAGGGCCTGTGGCAGGAAGATTTGCCCAGGCAAAGTTTTCTCTTGCTATTGTCACCAGGGTATGGCCTGATATGGCTGAGATGATAGAGGATATTGATAGGTTTTTCACCCCTCAAACTGATGTCAAGTGGGCAAAGGCTCAGATGCGCACTATTCACCAGGGGAACTCTCGCTACAAGGAGTTCTATGCTAAGTTCAAGTCCCTGAAGGTACAGGGGAGGGTCACTGATGAAACTACTGGCTTCTTGCTGGAAAATGCTGTTCATCCCACCATCATGAAGGAGGCCCTAAGGAGGGGATACACACAAGGAAACTACCTTCAGATGACTGTCACCTTCCAAGAGGTGGCCCTTGCCAGGGATCACTTCAAGCTCCTCTATAATCACTATCCTGATGAACCCACCCCCTGCTCTTCCTCTTACAACCACCCTTCCCACTCCTCTCACTTCACTCCCACCAGTACTCAACCTGGTTGAGGTGCCCCCATGGAAATCAGTGCTGCCCAGTTCCCTCCTCACCCCATCCCCTCCCACCTCAAATGTTTCAACTGTCAAGGGAATCACTACAAACATGACTGTCCCCACACCAAGGGAAAGGGTCATGCTAAACCCAACATACAGGAGGTCACCCAAGAAGCACAAGAGCTTGCTTTTCATCAAATGTCATTTGAAGAAATGCAGGCCTTCTTCTATGATAAGCAGATCAACAAGATGAAGGCCCAGGGAAAAGAGTTCAGCCAGTAGAGGATCAGGTCTCTTCTGGCTACATATACAATGAGTTTTCTGTGTTAGGTGTTGATGATGTTTCTACTGAGCAGGATATATTTAACTCAGAGACTACTGTACCATCTGAAGAGGCAACCCCAGTGGGCACAGCCACAGATGTAAAAGTTTTGGTGCTTAATTCCTCTTGTGATAAAAATAGAAAAAATCCACCTACTCAGTTAATGAAGGAAACCCCAAAAATAAGAACAGTAGATCTGAAGGCCAAGTTGGAGTTAGAGGTAGTGTTGGAAGGAAGAGAAAGGAGGTGGGATGTAAAGGTGTTGGTAGATTCAGGGGCAAATGATACATTCTTGGACAAAAGGTGGGCTGATGAAAATGATGTTCCTCTAATCAAGCTTGGTCAACCTGTCACTGTCCTTAATGTCAATGGAACTCCTAATGTTGCTGGCAACATCATGCATGTTGCCTCTCTCATCATGAACTATCAAGGACATCAAGAGTCTGTCTGGGCCCAGGTCACCATGCTTGGGATGCATCCCCTCATCCTTGGGTATACCTGGCTATGAAAGCACAACCCTGAGGTCTGTTGGGAAACCAAGCAGGTGAAGCTGTTGCATTGCCCTTGTGAGTGCCTCGACCTTGCCCCAAGGATAAGAGTGGAGAGACTGGCTGAGGAACAAGAGGCTCAGGACATGGAATACCTCTATCTGAAGCTTTGCTCCACCAGGGTAAGAGCTGGTACCACCAAGGAACTCATCCCAAAGGAGTACCACCAGTACCTCAAGGTTTTCTCCAAGGAAGAGTCAGAATGAATGCCACTTTGCAAGCCATAGGACCATGCCATTGACCTCAAGGAAACTTTCACCCCTAAACATGGCTGCCTGATCCCCCTCTCCACTGAGGAACAGAAGGAGGTTTCAGACTTCCTTGAAGATCAGCTGCACAAGGGTTACATCCATCCTTCAAAGTCTCCCCAGACCTCCCCTGTCTTCTTTGTGCCTAAGAAGGATGGCAAGAAGTGCATGGTACAGGACTATCATTATCTCAATGAGCATACAGTAAAAAATGCATACCCCCTTCTGCTCATCTCCCAACTTGTTGAGCTCAAGGGTTGTAAGCTCTTCACCAAGATGGACCTCTGGTGGGGATACAACAACATCTGTTAAGGAAGGAGATGAGTGGAAGGCTGCCTTCATCATGCACAAGGGTGCCTATGAACCACTGGTCATGTACTTTGGCCTCTGCAATTCACCATCCACCTTCCAAAACATGATGAATGACATCTTCAGTGACATGGAGGACATCTTGGTGGTCTACATCAATGACCTTATGATCTTCACCAGGACAGATGACAAGGCTGAGCATGATAGGATCATCCTGGAGGTGTTATAAAGGCTGGAGGAGAATGATCTGTTTGTCAAACCAGAGAAGTGCTTCTTCAAGCAAAAACAGGTGGAGTTCCTGGGTATGGTTCTTGGGACTGATGGGGTCAAGATAGATGAAGGCAAGGTACAGGCTATAATGGAATGGCCAGTCCCTACAAAGGTTTGCTTGGTACAAGCCTTTCTAGGCCCAGTGAACTTTTATTGTCACTTCATCAAAGACTTTGCTCAGATAGCCTGCCCCCTTAATGATCTTACCAAAAAGGATTAACTCTGGACCTGGGGCCCTTGAGAGCAACAGGCCTTTGATGCTCTAAAAGTCGCCTTTACCACTGCCCCTGTCCTCGCTTTCCCTGATCAGGATAAGGAGTTCTGCCTTGAAACCAATGCTTCAGACTTTGCTACTGGTGCTGTCCTTTCTGTAAAGTGTGAAGATGACCTTTGGCAACCTGTTGCTTTCTACTCCCTCTCTATGTCCCCCCTGAACATAACTACCAGGTCTTTGATAAGGAGATGCTGGCCATAATCCATGCACTGGAAACATGGCAACACTACCTCAAGGCCACCCCATACCAGTTTGAAATCTGGACAGATCACTCAAACCTCCAGTATTTCATGAAGGCACAAAATCTAGATTGCCACCAAGCACATTGGGCCCAGTATCTCTCTCAGTTCAACTACAAGCTGGTGTACAAACCTGGCTCCTCAATGGCTAAGGCAGATGCTCTCTCAAGGAGGGAGGATCATGAACCAGAGAAGGGGTCAGACAACCAGGGGGTTACACTTCTTGACCCTTCCAGGGTGGCTGCCACCTTGATGGTAGGAGAGGATGTAGACCTCATTGTTGCCCTGAAATCTGCTTCCTCCACCACACCACAACTGGAGGGCTCTGTCCTTCAAGAAGGGATGTATGTCTGTGCAGGGAAGGTCTACATCCTGCCTGCTGTCAGGATCCATTGCCTTGAAAAGCATCATGACACTCCTGTTGCAGGTCACCCAGGATGGAAGAAGACTTTAAAGCTTGTCTCCTGTAACTACATCTGGCCTGGAATGACTTCCTCCATCAGGGACTATGTCTCAGCATGCCACTGCTGTCAGATGGCTAAAAGCTCTAGAATACCCCTGGCCGGAAAACTCCTTCCAAACCCTGTTCCAGAGCACCCTTGGGTTGACATCTCAGTTGACTTCATGGAGTTACCAGAAGTGCAGGGCTTTGATAATGTCATGGTGGTGGTTGATAGGTTTTCAAAAGAGGTGGTCTTTGCTCCTACTACCAAGGAGGTCTCCTCACTACAGACCACAGAGCTCTTCTGTGACCATGTGTGGACTCAACATGGCCTGCCTTCTTCTGTCATCTCTGATTGTGGCCCACAGTTTGCTAGTGCATTTACCAGTGAGCTCTGCAAAATGCTTGGGGTCAAACCCAAGCTTTCCACTGCCTTCCACCCTCAGATGGATGGTCAAACCAAGCAGCTTAACCAGGACCTCCAGCAGTACCTCTGCCTCTTTGTCAATGACAGACAGTGTTCCTGGCCTTCCTGGCTGAAAGTGGCACAGTTCTCTTACAACAACAAGTGCCAGGAGTCCACTGGCAGGAGCCCCTTTTTGGTTACTCACTCCTATACTCCACAGATGGGTGTGGAACCCTTCCTTTCCAAGGCAGAGGCAGCCACCAACCATGCTGTGGACCTGGCTAGGGTCTTGGAGGATACCAGGCAGGCTCTAGAAAAGGCAGCAGATCAGATGAGAGTTAACTCTGAGAACCATCACTCGGAGACTCCAGCATATTCCATCAGTGACATGGTCTGGTTGGAAACTTCGAGGATCTCCCTCTCTGGTCATCCCTCTTGGAAACTCACTGAATGGTGGATTGGCCCTTATCAGGTTGTTTCACTTAAACTGAATGTGGTTGAGTTGAAACTCCCTAAAACCCTCAAAATCCACCTGGTGGTCAATGTCTCTCAAGTTAAGCCATATAAGGGGCTGTTAGAGGGCCAAGCTGTCACCCATCCTGGCCTGGTGGTGGGTATTGAGGGCAATGAAGAGTTTGAGGTGGACTACATTGCTGACTCTCACTTCAAGCAAAGCAGACTGGAGTTCCTGGTCCATTGGAGGGGCTACCATGATGAGGATCATACCTGGGAGCCCAAGTCTGCTCTTAAGTCTGCCCCTGCTGCCATCCAGGACTTCTATTGCCAACATCCCTCTGCACCTTGTAAACTCCATGGCATGGACTCCTCCCTTTTCTCCTCCCTCTTCCATCCCTTTGAGAATCTTACTGACACTGTCCCAACCTTCAATTGCCTGGAAGTTGATTTCTAAGGAGGGGATAGTGTTACAATATGTACTCTTGTTGTATATTCTGTCATTCATATTATACTTTCATCTGAATCCCACTTAGTATTATGGTGCGCATTTGGCCATATTACATAATCACACTCATTTTTGTACTCAAGTAGCATACTCACACCTCAGTTGGCTACTTAACCCAACTGAGGTGAGCACTTTCTACATCCTGTCTTTACACTCAGCTAATAGTCCTGTAGTATATATTCTACAGGTTATGAGCCCTGTTGCTCACTAACTGGGAACCCATAGCAAAATGTCATTCACATCCAAGCTTGGAGATGATTTCCTTAAGGTCCCAAAGCTCTCAGCAGATGGAGAGAACTGGGTAACATACAAGGACAGGCTAATGTGGTCTTTGGATGCTCATGGGCTGCTCGGGTACACAGATGGTACTGAGACGATGCCAGTCAACCCCAAGACACTACCAAACTGGAGCAAGAGCTGGATACCTATCTCTGCAGAGGAGAAAAAGGAAGTGATGAACTACCAAGCTACTCTAAAAGAATGGAGGCTCAGCCAAGCCATTGTCAAGCAACAAATTGCTGGCACACTCCCTGACACACTGTTTATCCAAATAAAGAGTCTTGCTACTGCACTTGACATCTGGACATACCTATCCAACCTCTTTGAGAAGCGCTCTTGTGTTGTATCGGTTGAACTGCTGAAGAAGCTCCAAACTATAAAATGCATGGAGAAAGGAAATGTCAGAAAACACTTTGACAAAATGTGGCAAATACACAAACAACTTGCCTCAATGGGCCAAGCCCTGACAGACAAAAGCTATATGGCCATGGTCATGACATCCCTCCCAAGCTCTTATGATTCTGTCATCAGAGCAATGTCCACACTCACAAAATTTTCCACCTCCACTACCCTAACAACTGCAACTCTCATGGATGCAGTACAAGACAAGTATGATCATTGTGCCACAAAGCAGAAAATGTCTAGCAATGCAGATGATGCAGCATACTCAGCTGGAGGAAAGCAGAAGAAGTTCGCTGGAACTTGCTACAAATGTGGAAAACATGGGCACCAAGCTTGCAAATGCAGGTCAAGTGGGGATGACTCACAAAGTAGAGGGAAGTCTCTGAACAAAGGGAAACAAAAAGAGTGCACAGCAGTGACCCAGATGGGGTATGGCTTGCACATATCAACAACAGCTATGAAGCTGAGGTTGACGAAGCTCAACCATCCCCAGAGACATTTGCTACTAGCATGTACATGAGACCACCAAACTACACTACTCTATATGGCTCTGGAGCCTCTTGTCACATGTTGTCATACAGGGAAAACTTTGTCAACTATAAGCTCATTACTCCCAAACCCATTACTGCAGCAGACAAACAAACCTTCGAAGCCATTGGAAAAGGAGATGTGTACATATCCCTACCAAATGGCAATTCACCCACTCATATCCTCTTGAAGGATGTCCTCCACACACCTAAGATCAGCATGACCCTGGTATCCATTAGCTGCCTAGATGCAAGTGGATATGCCATACTCTTCTGTGACTCACACTGCAAGATCTTTAATGGACAAAAGAAACTCCTTGGGAAAGTACCAGTCAGCAGCAGCCTCTATACAACCAAAGCCATGCAGAAGGTTTATGTGGGCTTGGCAAACTCGAGAGTAACCCTTACCATGGAAGATATCCATGCATGGCTCAGCCATATATCACCAGACACTATTAAACAAATACTAAAGGATGGCATTGTAACCAGAATAAGCCTAGACCCTTCCCATGCAACAATTGAATCTTGTGATGCATGCAAGTATGCCAAGGCAACCTGAAAACCCATAGGAAAAATCTGAGACCCCCTGTGCTGAGACAGGGTTGGTGACAAAATCCATATGGACTTATGGGGACCATCCCCTGTCCAAACAAATGCAAGGAGTCAGTATTTCATGTCATACACTGATGACCACACTCGCTTTACAAGCCTGTATCTCCTGAAGTCAAAGGATGAAACCTTCAAGTCCTACCAGAAGTATGAAGCCTGGCTGCTGATGCAGTTCAACACAAAGGTTAAAAGGCTTTGCTTGGACCAGGGTGGGGAATTCCTAAGCAAAGAGTTTTCATGTCATCTTGGGCTGAAAGGAACAGAGAGGAAGCTCACAGTGCATGATACACCACAGCATAATGGTGTTGCTGAAAGGCTAACCAACACTTGTCAAATGTGTACATGCCATGCTAAATGCAAGTGGCCTCCCAAAGTCACTATGGGGAGAAGCCATAATGCATGTGAACTGGATAAAGAACCGAACCTCCACCCATGCACTTGACAAAAAGACACCCTATGAAATGCTGTATAAAAAGAAACCAGATCTATCTAATCTACCAATCTGGGGCTGCCATGTCAAGGTCCACACAGCTGATGGTTTGAAACTAGACATGCATGCAAAAGATGGTTGCTGGGTGGGCTTTGATAAGGACACAAATGCACACAGAATTTATTTTGAGGACTCACAACATGTGGGTGTCAAATGAAATGTCTGATTCAGCTCCCAGGAGGTCACCATTCCTATCGGCATGCAGCTTGAGGGGGAGAAATGCATCACAGATGATGAGGGAGCATCATCCACCTCACACATAGCTGGTAAAAACAATCAGCATGCCATACAAACCACAGAAAGTGCACCTATGACACCAAGTACTCCCATTGACCACCTTGGACCAAGGTTTGAACCTGCAGCACCCACCTGTTGCTCTGGTCACACATGTGTCGAGTCAGCATATGTACAGTGCCTGCATGAGGGCGAGGGTACATATGACAGATGAATCCCACTACCTACACTACCATTACCTCAAGGAATACAACCAGGCTCACAACAAGAGGAGAATAGAGAGACAGCAAACCTGGGCATGATGGGGGTGATGGATGAAGACAATGAAGAAGTTTTTTCCTTGGTTGCTGGGACTGCAGAGCTAGAAGGGACAGATCCCATCATGATCAAAGATGCTCATGCAAGACCTGATTGGTCAAAGTGGGAGGAAGCAATTAATAAAGAACTTACCTCATTGGATGAAGCACAAACATGGAGCATCATTGAGAGACCACATGGTGTCAATGTGGTTGGCTGTAAATGGGTATTTCATATCAAACAAAACATGGAGGGAGAAATTGAAAAATACAAAGTGTGACTTGTAGCAAAAGGCTCCTCGCAGGTCCATGGCATCAACCACTATGATACCTATGCACCCGTTGCATGCATGGCATCTATCCACACCATCCTTACTATTGCAGCGCAGAATGACTGGGATGTTGATGTTTTCGACTTCCAGAGTGCTTTCCTAAATGGGAAGTTGGATGATGATGAAGTAATCTACATGCAACTGCCACCTGGACTCTCAGTTAACAGCAAATATAAAAATCCTGTCACCTGACTGCATGTAGTGCTTTACAGATCAAAGCAAGGAGCATTGCAGTGGTATGAGCAGCTGTGTGCTGCACTCACTACACTTGGTATGCATTGTGCTGAAGCTGACTGGAGTGTTTTCTTCATGCACACAGGCCAGGACATCCTACTCCTCACATTGCATGTCAATGACTGCACCATCACCAGCAATAATCCTAGCTTAATTAAAAGGTTCAAGTCTGAAGTGGCTGCAAACTTCAAGTTAACAGATTTAGGCCCCATTTCATCCCTACTCAGAATAAAAGTCATGTGTAAACACTTGGCACACATGCTCTCACTCTCACAGGCATCCTACATCGATTCTATGATGTTAAAATATAATTTTGTAGATCTACGGCCCATTGTGACACCTATGGACCCCTCAGTCCAGTTCTCCACTGCCCAGTGCCCAAAAATGCACACTGAGGCTGCACACATGAAAAATGTGCCATATTGCGAAGCTGTCAGCTCGCTGATGCACCTAGTGGTTGCCACACACCCTGATGTGGCCTTTGCTGTTGCAATGTTGTTGCAATTCTGCAATAACCCCAGGTTAGCACATTGGGAGGGCATAAAAAGAATATTTAGATACCTTTTAGGCATGAAAGGGCTTGCATTGACATTTGGAGGGGATAGATATGGCCTCAAGGGCTATACAGACACAGATGGCACCTCGCAGGAGCACTGGCATGCCATTTCCAGCTATGCCTTCCTGCTCAATGGCAGAGCAATCTCCTGGGCCTCAAAGAAACAAGAACTGATTACTTTATCTACCACAGAAGCCGAGTATGTTGCCACCACTGATGCAGCAAAAGAAGCCATCTGGCTTTGTCGCCTCATCCAGAAGTTGTTCTGCCCACTCTCGCTCCCAACCACAATTTATTGCAACAATCAGTCTGCAATCACACTTGCTCACCATGGCAATTACCATGCCCATACAAAACACATAGACATTTGTTATCATTTTATATGCTATGCTATTGATAATGGTTCACTTCACCTCATCTACTGTCCTACTGGCAGTATGGTTGCAGATACCCTTACCAAGGCTCTTCCAAACATCAAAGCCAAGCACTTTGCTTATGAGCTTGGACTCCATGATGTTTGAGGGGGAGTGTTGTATATTCTGTCTTTCATATTATACTTTCATCTGCATCCCACTTAGTATTATGGTGTGCATTTGGCCATATTACATAACCATGTTCATTTTCATACTCGAGTAGCATACTCACACCTCAGTTGGCTACTTAACCTAACTGAGTATATATTCTACAACTCTTTCTCCTTTTCTTTCCTTTTCATTTCATCCTATCTAATCTCTTATCTTATCTCTCCTCTTCAGACTAGGTCCAGACCTTGCCTCACTCCTACCACATGTTCTCCTTCTAGTACATTCTGCTCCACTATGATGTCATGGACCTCATGTATGCCTCACCATTACCCCATGTACCCTGGTATAAGTACTGTTGCTCAATCTCCCAACTAGCTCTTTTTGAAGGATGCTGTAGGTATCCTCAGTAGTGCAACAAGCTACTGATGTATTAGACCAACCTGTAGGTATCTACAGGACATCAGTAAGTATAATACTGGTAGTGAAAGTGGCTGTGTATTTATTTCCTTATATGGTGGTTGCATTCAGTGGCTGTGTAGGTTGCATTCAGTGGCTGTGAGGTTTCATTCAGTGGCTGTGTAGGGGCATTTGCATTCAGTGGCTGTGTAGGTACATGCACTGATGCTACACTCTTCGCTAGATGCATGCACCAATGCTACACTCTGCACTAGATGCATGCACACTTTCCTAGATGCATGCATGCTTTCCTAGATGCATGCACCAATGCTACACTCTCCTCTAGATGCATGCACCCTTTCCTAGATGCATGCATGCATTCCTAGATGCATGCAGACCCTGGGGCAGGGTCCAGAAAGCATATTATTAGGATGCTTATGCCCTGAACAACAACTTCATTGGGGAATGCATGCAGGCCATCAACATGTATTCTGGAGATGCAAAGAAGAGGTCATATGGGGTGCGAGAAAAGTACAGGATGAGTGGGGCTGCAGTGGAGCAGGCCATACTGGTGGTGCCACAAAGGGTGATGCATTTCCAAGCTCAATCATGCTCATATCTGATGCTTCCATCTTTGCAGATGGAAGAGCTTTTAGCCTCCAATCCCATTCTCTGGATCCTGACCAAAGTCTGGTTGGAATTTATGGCTAGACACATCAGGGCCCTCCAGTTGGCTCAGATCTCTCTCAAGGAACTGGAACCACCCAACCTTGGGATTCTGACTGGCATCATCTGCCACATGATTCAGTGCATGTCCACCACTGCAATAATCCTTGACTTCCATGTGAGAGAGTCCATGGCCCTTCTGCAGGTCTCCAGGGTGTGTGAGTGGTTCGGAATGTTCTTCCTTTTGGACCTGGACTTGCATCATGCCCCCCATCTTCCAGAAGTTCAGGATCATAATGACCTGGAGGTGCTCAAGCTGATGGAGGGAAAGTTGAAGAGGGGTGACAGACAACCTGCCTGGCCAAGGATTCCCCCTCTGGACACAGTGGAACAATTTCCCATTGGCAGCAGACCAACATGGGCCAAATTGACAAGGACCATCCAACTGCAGCCTTGGTTGATCATGCAGGACTGGAAGTGGTTGGCCCAACTGTCCAGTCTGGGGCCAGTGGTAGGGAAACTTTTTGTTCTGTTTTCCTGTCAGCTTTGGATCCAGTTGGATGCAACTTGGCTGACACGCTCAGAGGGAAAACCAGAGCCAACATCTTTGGAAGATGCCATTCAGAGTTGGACTCTGAACCAGACCTTCAGGACAATATGTGCCTGCAAATTCAAGGCCTGCAATGCAGAAATAGCAGGGAGTGGAGGGGCTGGTCACTGACAGTCAAGCTTTGCAGAGAGGGTCAACCTGTTTTTTCCAGGACCCACAGCAGGACAACCTTCATGGAGGTCACCATGGAATGTCTTCTGGACAAAGCCTGGCTATATTTGGGAGTATCACCAGGTGATGAAGAACAGGACACCCCTGGAGGAGTTTGAGGTCCTGGACCACCTTTGCAGGATATTTTCTGTCCTTCAGACATTACCTGATGTGACCAAAGGGAGTGAAAAGAGTCCTGGGAAGACATGGTGGGTGGAGGGTGAGAAGGTGGTTCTGGTGACAAATCCCAAGTTCTACAAGATCGTGGGGATCTCCACCAAGAAGGAACAGCAACAGGCCAGGAGATGAGCATCTTGAGTGGTAAAGCCCAGGAATGCACTGCAGATGGGGCTCCTGGAGCATGCAGGATATGATGAACTGCTGGCTAGCAAGGCCCTCATCTTAGAAAGGCAGAGGCTGAAAGAGGCACAGACTAAGAAGTCATCAAAGGCAAAGAATGCTTGAAAGCCTCCAGCAAGAAGAGGCAAGGCCTTGCATAGGGTGGAGGGTTAGGGGACCACCTCATAGAGGGAAGCAGAGGGATGGGGGGGGGGAAGGCAAGGATATGGGTCCAGAGGGAGAAAGTGATGAATGCAATGTTGATATAGATTGTGGTTCCCATTCCTGTGGAACTGAATCCCAGTGTTGGCTAGTGTAGTCTGATCAGGTAGCAACATGTTTGGCATCTTGGGATGATACCTGGCCCCAAGGTGAACCCCCCTCTTCAGCTTCGCTCCATCAAAACAATTCCAGATCAATCCAGCTGTCCATACCATGTCTGTGCCACTTGAATGACATGGTGGGACCATTTGGATCACACCAGAAAGGACCCTATGTGTCATTCCCCTCCTCTTATCCTGGGGGTGCTAATCCTGTAAAGTTTAGGAAGCATGAAAGCTTGTCAGGAATGGTTGTCCTGGAGGGCCTGAAAGTCACAATGGATGATGACAATGGTTGCAGCATTCCTAGGTGTCAGAATATCCATGTAAGATATGTTACCCCCCCCTCCCCATGTTCACTCCATCAAAACAATTTCAGAGATTGATCTAGCTATCTGAATCATGTCTACCCCATGGGTATGACATTACAATACCATAAGAATTGCATTACAAACATCCCCATATTTGTTTCATCAACATACCTCATCCCCTCCTCATACCCCAGGGATGGTGATCCAGTAACATCAGGAGGGGGTGCCAGCTTGCCAGGGATGGATGTCCTGGGTGTTGTCAATGCCACTGAAGACAATGGAAATGATTTCCAGCCTCCCAGAAGTATTTCCAAAGAGATACTACTTTGTGGTCTGACCATCCTTCTACCCCCTGTAGATTTTTTTTCCAACTGCCAATTTCATTCAAATTTCACCTGGGACATCCCAATGGACATATCTATCAACTCCCAGCATTATTTCCCCCAAATTATGGTTGGGAGTTTGTAATTATAATTCCCCCAGGGGCTGTATAGATGAGGGATATGATGTCTCTTGGTTGCAGGTTCAAGTTGGATGCACCAGAGTGGGTCATGCCATTGCAGAAGGAGAATCTGAGTCGAGTGTCACATCACTGAGATCATGTCCTACATTGGGACATCATTGTTGTCTCTGCTCCAGTGCATTGAGATCAAGGCACTTGATGAATATATGTCAGGACTGTGTATGACCCATGAATAAAATTGCAGATGCACCTGTACCAGACCCAACATTGCCTTTGAGACATCTGGTTTGAGTTTCAGATGCTTGTGTACCTTCACATTGCTGGTTAGATTGTGCCACAAAATTGACATGTTCTGGATGGTATTGATGATGTGTTGGAGTCCAGTCTCATGTCATGTCTTCAATTCTTTGACATGAATCTTGTCGAGCTGGTGTTTGACAGAGAACTCTGGGAATGTGAGGCCATCAGGCCAAACAAGGCAAGGGGCAGGTGTGCGTGAGGCAGCAGATTTGGCAAGAGAGATGGTGAGGTGGCTCTGGCACAGCTGAGATGCACCTGGGGTGATGAGATACTCTTCCACACAGTCCTCTGTCATTCATCATAGAAGTAGTGTGCCTGACACAATGTCAAAGAGAAGCTGAGGATGATATGAGTGGACAATGGCATGTTCATAGATGGCAAGGCATGCAAGTTGCCACATGAATTGTTTCTTGGAGTTGGGGACCTGGTTCACCCACTTGTAGGTATGATGTACGATGAATTCCTGACCACGAAATATATTCTTTGGTGCATGGGAAGGGAGTTTGGGCAGACAGTTGGTGGGGATGCCAAAATCCTTCAGAGTGATCTTCAGAGGCTTCTCCACAGCATTGAGATACTTGATTGTGGTCTCAGCCTCCTTTGCAAGGAGTTGATGGTGGGCAGCTGCCTGCTCCTTCACATGAGCTCTCCTGTCCACCCACTGCTCTCTCATGATCTTCCCATCAGCATTTTCTTGCTCACCTCTGTCACATGCCTCAGACATGTCTCTACCAGAACCCTTGTCATCATTGCCATCATCTCCAACTTGCCTGTCTTCCTGTCCTCCATTTTCATCTCCCTCATCATCCTCCACCTTTGCCTTTGCCTTTCCTTTACCCTTGGGATGCGAGTCCTCATCATCGTCCTGCTTGAGTTGACAGAAGATCAAGAGTAATTTGTTCTAGGTAAGCTGATGGTGGAATGGCCCTTTGTATGTGAGAGAGTCTTCCATCTGCAAGAATGTAACATATTGCAAGAAGATCATAGCAATGATCTTTCATGTAATGAATGTGATCAAACATCAATAGAATTTTGGCAGGCATACCTTGTTGACAGCTAAAACATGCCCATCCATCTTCAGTGACCTGTGTGCCAACACTGCCCTGACCATGTCTGTGCTTGCAGATCCAGGAGACCAGTCCTGTGGATGGAACTTGTCATGGTGGATGAACAGTGTCCACCATGATGCATACTGTGTGCATGGTTAGGAGGTAGCATGGATATGATTGGATGACTCACTTCAAGCAATGCACCATTAATCCTGAGAAGGTGCTTGTTCATGGCCTCAATGAGACAATAGGATGGGAGGGGGAAGAGGTAGAATGGTTCATCTGAACACCATTCACTGAGGAGCAGACTTATCTTTGCTGGGGACATCTGAATCACCTTCTTCACATCTTCCTCATATAATGATATATCATCATCCATCTGTGTGATCTCCTCGAGCATGACAACAAGAGCATGGCAGTATTGATTGAATGCAGACTGGTATATGAATGAATGGGCTTGACAGAGATGACCCACAGTCTCCAAGTTGGCAAACAGATGGCCTGTGAAGACTGCATTGATGACATCCTGGACTTGTGGTATGATTGCCTGGCACAGAGACAAGGCCTGCTTCAAGGTGTCATGTATGGACCAGAGATGGTCATGGGCTTGTTCTTTCTCAGCAGACACAGCATGCTTGCTCACCTTCTTGTCGAGATCTTTGAATTCTGCAATGGTGAATTCAATGGTGTTGAAACACAGAGTGAGCTTCTCTTCAAGAACAGACATCACCTAAGCAATGATCTATCAATGTAGTATAGTCAGCACAATTTGCAATGCCATGTCCTTGCACTTACCCCTCCCCCTGGGCTCATCATCATTGCATGCAATTTATTGAGGTCGAATATCAGGGAATGGATGTAATGTGTAGACACTGAGTTCATGAATGACATCAACTTGAATACATAGTCTTGGGAGAGGAGCTCTGTCTATTTGCCTACAGGACCAGTACTGACTCCAGTGCAAGGGATATTGTACCACTTGTGACCCAATATGAGGGCCTCTTTGAATCGCTGGATGAGGCCCTCTGCTGGTGCTTCGATGTATGTGTGCTTGCATTCATTTTGCGAGATGAAGAGGCCCAGTTTTTCATTGATGTCCCCTGTGTGATCTGTCAGTATGCATAGAATAGAACATAATGCACAAACATTGGATATAAACATTTGTGCTGATAGGGAGCATGTGGATAGAAGATGATACATGGACATATCCATGCAGATGTTGAGCATCTGGATCTGCATATATGTGCATGTGATCTGATGACATCAAGGGTGTTGCTATTGAATCACTGTATATTCATGCAGGTCTGGGCAGTCAACATTTGCAGGATTGCACCCATCAAGACCAATAGATCATGTAACCTCACCTTTACTGTATATCATAACCAGCCACTGTCCTCCATATCCCAAAAGACCCTTGATGCTGTTGATCTCCTTGATATATTCATTGAGTTCCCCAATATCTTCCTCAGTCACCTCTTCCATATCCTGCTTCTTCAATCATTTGATCAACAACTCCAGCTCATTCAATTGTGTCTTCTTCTTCTCATGCCAGGCCTTCAGCACACATGTACAGTGCTGGCTGCCAGCAGCAGGGATGCTCCAATTTTTTGTAGCAATAGTCTCATCAATTTCAAGGAGTGGTATCTGTTCAATGTTGAGGTCCATAGGATTCCCTGTTGTGTATGAATCCTTCTTCATCCATCACTTGTCAATCACCAGTGGTATCATGTGTGCCATGTTGAATTGATCCAATCCATTCTGCAAAAAGGAATTTGTAAGGTTTGTTACCTGTGCCTGAATGACCTGTCATGAATTCCAGATCCCAAACATAAGTTGATCCATGTTCTCGATCAGATCAAACCTCGCAATCCCAATGATCACTCACTTCATGCCCTCCCCAAGCTCTTGGTGAGCTTGCACCCTATCATCAAGCATCACCTTCTGTGATCTTCCTCCCCCACACATGAGGAGAGTCTCCCCAAGTGTAGTCTTCTGTGCATCAGCCTTATCTTGTGAGTATCATACTTCTGCTCTGACATTCAAAACTCACCTTCCCCACCCCTTCCTTCCCTTCCTTCCTGCTCCAACCTTGTGCTGATTTCTTAGGTGGCATATCATCTCAAGCACTGTCATTGTCCTGGTATCAGTTTAAAATCAAACTGGTCAGTCAATGCTTTATCTCTTCCATCTGTGATATATTCAGCCTCCCCTTATCCACCTCATTTCGTCAATCATGCCAGATGATCTATCATTTCAAATATCCTAGGTTAGATGTCATCAGGTGGTCCTGCTGAATCAGTTCCCCACATTCAGCATACTATTGTACCTCTGTCCATCCTGTATGTGCTTGTGTTGTCAGTGTTTACATGTCGATACTTCTTCTTCATGGAATTTACATTGCATGATCACATATATATTCATTCTTCATCCTCCATCACATCTTATGATTGGAACCTATTTGTCACATGTTGATCTGTTGTTTGATTAAAGCTGGACTGTTCACATCTGTAGATTTAATTCAAATTCCATCAATGTTCAAGACTCTTTATATATACAGTTCATGTCCTGCACCATAGTGCTGGTTGTGTCATATAATTAATTAACTACCAATCATGCAAATACTGAGGTTCAATGTTTGCACAATATCATCTGTAATATCACTATATTAGGCTATTCATAGTAGCTCTCTATGAAGTTGATCATATCACACAAACAGTTCACTTCAACATTTGCATCATTAAACATAATTTACAATATCATTCATATTATCATTAGCACTGTCCATGTTTATCCACATTCTCCATCCATATACAATTATGCATGTTCAATGTTACAGTTGTTTCATGGGCTGCTCTGCATTTCCTTGCTCTCATACTCAACTTTGGCTTCATTAGACATATGTATTACCACTCTCTCCTACTTAAAACCCTTCTTTGTATGGCTCACATTATAGAAATATTCCCTTAGAATCCCAGATTTCTTACCCCAACCCTACATTGACCCTAACCACCATTACAAAAACCCTCTAGTATTGCATAGAACAGGCTCCTTTGACATAGGCCAGCATAGCAAATCAAACAGAAATGAAGAGCAAGAGAGAACTGATGTAGACCTATGGAAAAGCTATGGAATAGCAAGGCATAGTACAAAGTACTTCAACATAGCTAAATCAGCTATGGAGATGCCCATTTTCTATGTGAGGCCATTCCCATCTATGGCATAGGTATGACTACGTGTACATTGCTACAGATAGCTCCAATTTTCACTGGGATTGACCCCGCACGGCAAAACCCACCAGTCGTGACTGCGCTCCGGCGTGGTAAACAAGGTGCCTGCCGGCGGCACCGGCCAGGTTCTAGTATTACATAAGCATCATTTTGGTCACCGTGGCGTCCACTCTTGTTCTCAACTTCAATCGACCATGTCCGACGATTTCAGCCTCTGCTGCTGGGTACGAGGTACCACCGTCACTGCCACCTTCATTATCAGTATTTCACCGACGGCAACTGTCGGTACGCTGAGAGAGGAGTTAAAAAAGCAACTCGACAACTCGACGATGTTCCGGCCTCAGATCTCCGGCTGTTCAAGCTCAAGGATCCCCTGCGAAGACCCTATAAGGAGACTCTCAATGGTGTCACCCTCTCGACGGACGGGGAACTCTTGGATTCTTCGGATGAGATATCAGAGGTGTTCGCGGCCCCACCACCAAAGCGCCACATCCATATCATAGTGGGTATGTAGTGGCTGCGATCCAAGCGTGTTTGTTTTATTGTTTATTCTTCTCCAGATGCGCCATACCTTGGAATTTACTGCTGGGTACGAGGCAGCACTGCCGCGGACCGCTTTCGCATTTTAATCCACTCGAATGCGTCAATCGAAGATCTCAAAGACCGTATCCAGGAGAAAGATCCACAACTTAAGAACGTGGCTCAATATCGTATGCGCTTATACAGGATATCGGAATCCGACCGTGAATTACGTGAGAGTCTTGATACTCTGGACGCCGGTCACTTGCTCGACCAAACCATACCTCTATCCGAATATTTCCTGGATGTACCAGTTCTTCAAGGTCTTTGTGTTGTTCTCCAAGTGTCCTCTGACTTTAATAGTAAGTAACTGTATGACCTCATTGAATTACGCTGATTTTCGCATGGCAGGGTCAGCGAATAATCCTCCTTGGCGTGTTAACCACTCCACTGAAGGAGGGGACCCGATTAAAGTTGCACGGGACACCTTCGTCGCAGATATCGCCGCCTATTCAAAGACAGCGAAATCGCAATCAAGGTCAAAGAGATCACCCTCTCCTTCCAGTGATTCGAAGCCCTCCTCGTTTCGTGATCGACAGAAGACCGAAAAGGTACAAATAGCCTGTGGTCGTCCTCGTGATGTTGAGGAAGTTATCCCTGTCACACTGTTACATCGGGTCTTCGCCAAATTCATCGATAGTTGCCAGACTCACACGATAACAGAAGAAGACAACAACCTCGTCAGTGAACTGGCTGATGCCATGTCAGCCCTGTATGAAAATGAACACCAGCGAGTGATTGCGCTTAACGTGGTCCTTGCAAAGTACCGCCTCAACTTTCGCATCGACAGCAAGGTGCCAGGCACTGCAGTATGTGGTGGATGCCACTATGTGTGTCACCGTTCGTGACAATCTACATCCTTATGTGATTGCCGAGTTCAAAAACGAAGCGACGGCCTCTAATTCGGACCCATATGTGCAGGCTGTGGCTTACTATCTGGAGTTGACGAAAGGGTATGCACCTACGTTGTCGGGGTGCGCTTTACCGTGTTTACTCCTCATAATTTTCGGTCAGTGTCCGTGATTTCCTTGGGCTTAGAAAATGACGTGCGAACTACTTTTCTCTCCAGGACCGTACATTGTCTTCGCCGGTGCTGTGTGGACGTTGCGCCCTGCCGTGCAGATCCTTTCGAGCCCTCTAGCATTCCACTATCATTCCACCGATACCAATAGTCAGATTGCCGCTGCACGTCACATGGCTGCATTCCGCGAGGCGGTCAGATCGCTCGAGAGATATTACGAAACACTCCCTTCTGCATCTGAACTTGCCAACACGCTGTCTCACCCTATACTATTCCCGTATCCCACAAGCTTCAAATCTCTCGACGACAAAAGCGAGACAGATACAAACTTCCGCTAGACGCAACAGCTCGATGAGGATGGAGGAAGTCGAAAAGGCTTATATTCTTCGGAACCCCTGAGGACTCCACTCAGGCATGCGATCTGCATCAAATTCGTCCGAAGTTATTCAAAGGCTGCTCATTTGCATTTTGCGTCATTAGGCCTCGCCCCTAGATTACGAGGGTTCGAAGAGCTCGCAGGTGGTTGGTACATGGTGATCATGGATAGGCTCGTTGGTTACGAGCTATTAGGCCGATATCGACCGCCTCCCTGAGTCGGTCCCTCGAGGGAATAAGGGGCCAGCTGATGACACTGCACGAACTCAAGTTGGTCCATGGTGATGTTCGTGACACCAACATCTTGGTGAAGACAGACGACAGGACGAAGGTCATGATCATTGACTTTGACTGGGCTGGGAAAATAGACGAAGTCCGCTACCCGCCTTATGTGAATTATATGGAGATATGGAGACCAGAGGGAGCGAGAGATGGGAACCTTATTAAAGCAGATCATGACAAAGAGATGCTTGATGCCATCATTACTCGCAAGAGCAAACAAGAGTAGGAATACCAAGGCCCTCCGGGCGCTCCTGGACGCATTTGGAGAAAGCATGTGATGTATTTACTCTTTTCGACAGGGTACATGTGATCTCTAATACATAGCCTCTATGAGTTCAGTTGACATTTCTTGTGATTTATATTATATAGTGCCTGTATGGAGGAGATTTATGGTGATGGAGGCCACTGAGCTTTATGTTGGGTGGAAGATGATGTATCTGTTTGAAGCTGTCAGATATAGTTTTGTGTATTCTGCTTTTTGAATACCATTCATTGTTCAATATCAACCATTCAATCACATGCTTTACTCTTGATCTGCTCACAAGAACAGGAGGGAATTCCCACAAGGTGTCCAGGCTCAGATGAAAAGAGCCACCAGCAAACACAACACACACCATGCCCCATAAATTGTTCCCCATCAGTGGAAGGACATTTGTCAAAGAGCAGGGGTCTGAGGCAGAAGAGCTACATTCCCTTGGTTAAACTGCTGACTTGCTTCTTCAGGAACCTGCCCACCTTAACCACTTCTCATCTGATAATGATGGGTGATGACAGTAGTGTAACATGCAGCAATGAGCATCAGTTCTGATAGCAATGATGTGTATGCACAGGCTAATGTGGGAACCACCAGGTACAAGCACAAGTATGGGCAAGGGTGATAGGCTTAAGGCTCAATGTGCTCAGGCAAAGATGTGGGTTGACAAGCTGACATTCTCATCTCATAGGGATTCATTCCCCTGCAGTAGCTACCTTTTATCTACATTGTGTATTTGATATCTCATTCATTGGGGCATGTCTGCCTCAACTCCTGCCTTTGTGCTTTACTTGGCCCCTTTGGGGTTATGACATACTTTCCATGCATGTGTGTGTTTCTCTTTCCTTATTGGGGTGTGATGCTGGTTTGCTATTCCCATACTCCCCCTCAAGCTGGGGTCATACCCAGGGCTTTTCTGTTAGACTCATGTTTTACTTTGGTTAATGCTTTGGTGAATATGTTGGCCATCATTTTGGCCATAGGGCAATATTTTAAGTTAATTATTTCTCTCTTCACACAATCATGAATGAAGTGATTTTTAGTGTTGAAGTGTTTCAAGTGCTGATGGTATTGTGCATGGCCAGCACTGATTGGTTGTTGCCATAGAGTGTTGTAGCTTCTAATTGTGGGTGGTCTAGCTCACTCAGCAGGCTCTGTAGCCATATGGTTTCATGCATCACATTTGCCATTGATATGTATTCAGCTTCTGCCATGGAGAGAGCTACATGGCTCTGCACATAGTGTAGTCACACTTAGTCACAACACATGGGCAGCCTGTGTGCCAAAACACCAACACTTATATAGACCCTGAGACGGGCCCACCTAAATAGATTAGCTGGTACACATGGACAGGCCCAAGGGACTAGAGTGAGAGCAATATATGTATGGGCCCATAAGTGCATTATGACAACATATGGGAGGGCCCATGGTGGGTAAGGATGTTGAAACATTCAGATGGGCCCATGACCAATTAAGTATACCAAGCTGCTGTAAGACAAGGACAGGCCTGTCCTGGTAGGTTACACCCCTGTCACAACATCAAGGCAGGCCCACCTATCATATCATGGAGAGGGTCACAACATAAGGACAGGCCCATCTATGATTAGAATACAAAGTTGGTGACATATGGATGGGCCTGGGAGTAATATCATTTATGGTGTCACAACATATAGACAGGCCCATTCATAACAAGCCATACCCCTGTCACAACATATGGACAGGCCTGTCCATAGTAAGGTGTACTACTGTTGAAACATAAAGATGGGCCTGTCACTAATATCATTTAATAGAGTCACAACATAAGGTCAGGCCATTCAGTAGTATTATTTATATTGTTGCAACATATGGATGGGCCCATCCACAGTAAGATGTACCTCTGATGAAACATAAAGACAGGCCCATCAGTAATCTCATGTATAGCATCACAACATATGGACAGGCCCTTCAGTAGTATTATTTATATTGTCACAACATATGGGTGGGCCCAGCCCCAGTAAGATGTACCCTGTTGAAACATAAAGACAGGCCTGTTGGTGATATTATTTAATAGTGTCACAACATATGGACAGGCTCTTCAGTAGTATTATTTATATTGTCACAACATATGGACAGGCCTGTCCACTGTAAGATGTACCTCTGATGAAACATAAAGACAGGCCCATCAGTAATCTCATGTATAGCATCACAACATATGGATGGGCCCTTCAGTAGTATTATTTATATTGTCACAACATATGGGTGAGCCCAGCCCCAGTAAGATGTGCCCTGTCAAAACATAAAGATGGTGAAGTAGGAAGAACCTTCTTCCCTGGTGATCTTGTAGTGACACACACACCTCACTATGTACTTCTGTCCTTGCTCCCTCCTGCCCACATGACTAAGTGCTTCTCACACTCAACTAGCCCCTCTCCCCCTACTACATGTGGCCCCATCAAAAAAATAGCAGCACCCTCATTGCCTAAGGCCTCTACCAATCCATCCATCTCTGGGCCTTCCATGTCTGTGGTGGCCCCCTCAGTTCTGCTACCTGTGGTCCCATTGTCTTCTTCAGTCCTGCCATCTGTGGTTTTGTTGTCCTTGCCATTGTCCTTTTGTCCTGTGTCCCCTGCTGATTCCCTTGTTCTCTTGTTCTCCCCATTCATCTCTACCACTTGTTGTGCTAACCCCCTTATATATTCCTCTTGCTCCTTATGTAGTCTGGTTCCTTCCTTTGGTATGAAGGACCATAGTCATCATGTGCTGTGTTCACCAGGTAGTTGTGTACTGTTGAGTGTTTCAAGCCAGTATGAGTTGCATATTCTTGATAGGACTTGGTGTAGTCATTGAAGCAACCAAAGACGAGAGTCTTCTCAGCTATCACTTCAAACCAGAGAGTGTGGGAGTAGAACCAATTGATTGAGGGACAAGCTCAAAACAAACTAGATTAGAGAAAGTGACTATGACAAATGATGGGACTGATATACTGCCTTACTGTTTGTACATACTGCCACAAGAGAATGTTTGAGAAAGAAGTAAACAAATGAGAGAACTATGCTATTGGATGAATGCATACACATGTTAGCAATGAGGCACAGCCTTACTAAGTGTCATGTAAGCATGAAAGGATGAGCAAAAGGAAAAGTCTGAGATGACTAAGCACCCTAAAAGCATAACCCTAACCAGAGGGTGGGTATATATGGGCAACCAGCAAATGTGGAAGTGAAAAGTCTACCAGTCATTACACTATCCCCTCCTAAGGCTTGACTTCCAGGCAAGACCAAATAGGACAAACAGTAGTAGATGGTTCCAGGACAGGCATGAACAAGCTGTCAAAGCTTTCTGATGAGAGGAGAGATAATTTACAGGGGGCCCTGGGGTGGGATCAATAAAAATCCTTGATTGCCAACTCTGAACTCTTCAAGGCAGAGGCTGGCTCCCAAGTACAATCTTCTTCAGGGTATCCCCTCCAATGGACAAGGAATTGAAGAGCTCCACATTTCAAATGGGAGTCAACAACATATTCAACTTTGTATTCAACATCTCCTTCATCAGTAACCCTCTGCAGTCCTGGCCTGTTGACAGGCTGCCCATCAAGGGCACTGAGATAGGGTTTAACCTGAGAGATATTCACAACTGGGTGAATCCTCATGTTGCATGGCAACTTTAATTTAAGAGCATTTGGAAGTACCTCTAGAACTTCATAGGGTCTGATCCACTTCTCAGAAAGTTTATGGCTCTGCCATTCTCTTAAGGACAGATGGTCTGTAGCTAGCTAGACCTGTGATCCAACAGAGTAAGAGGGGGAAACAGAGCAGTGTCTATCCACTTGTTGCTTCTTCCAGGAATGCACTTTGGTGAGGTTTGCTTTCACATCTTGGAACACCTGGAACCAAGATTTGGCAACTTCTTCTGCTGCTTCTACCTTTGAAGTCATCAGTTCAATGCCCATCCTAGGTCTATAGGAATGAGTAACTTCAAAGGGGCACTTGCCAGTAGAAGTGGATGCAGAGTTATTGTATGCAAACTGAGCCAAGGGTAGCCATTCCTCCCAGTGAGCCTGCTGCTGGTTGGCATACATCTGTAAATACTGTTGGATTTCACAGTTCAACCATTCTGTCTGTCCATCTGTTTGTGGGTGGAATGCTGTAGAGAGTTTCTTCTGTACTCCCAACATTTTAAATGACTCCTTCATGAAGGATGAGGCAAACTGAGGGCCTTGGTCTGATATGATAAAGTTCAGAAGTCTGTGATGTTTCCAAACATGCATCAGGTAAAGATGAGCTGTGCTAGCAGCTGTTTCTTCCACAGTGCAGGGGATGAACTCTGCTTCCTTAGAGAACCTGTCAATGATGACTAGGATGTGAGACTTTCCAGAAGATCCCTTTACTCCAAGATCCATAAAGTCAGTCATCAACTCTCTCCAAGGCCCATCAGGGATAGGTAAAGGCTTGAGTTCTCCTGTGGGTGGCCTATTTCCAGACTTGCTGGCTTGGCACATTTGGCAATGCTTTACATACTCTTCTACATCAGGTTTTAAGGTAGACCACATGAACCAGCATGTAATCAACTCCTGAGTTCCTTTTATACCACAATGTCCCACTAGGGGAGAGTCATCGAGAGCATTAAGTAGCTTCCTTCTAAGTGCACTAGGCACCCAAACTTTTTCTCCATCATAATGAAGACCACCTCAGAGTTTGCATCCAGCAGGGACTCCTTTGGCTTTAGTGGATTCAATCTGCAGATCTTCCATGAAGGGGTTGTCTAGCTTTACTGAATGAATCTGGTTCAGGTTTATAAATAGGGACTCCTCTGACTTTGCCCTTTTTTTCCCTTCTACAAAGTCTTCTCATCTTGATAGGGCATCTGGCCTGCCCATCATGACTCCAGGTTTATGAACTATGATACAGTTGAACTGACTAAAGTACTGCACCCAGTGCACCTGGCATGGTTGGAGCTTCTGCATGGTCATGAACCACTTGAGGTTGTGGTGATCCATCCAAATCTCAAACTGGTACAGGGTTGCCTTGAGGTAATGACACCACTGCTCTAGTGCACAGATAATGGCCAGCATTTCTTTGTCATGAACCATATAATTAAGTTCAGCCCCAGATAGAGAGTGACTGGGGTAGGTGATGGGTCTCCAGAGACCATCATCACATTCTACCAAGAGCACTGCTCTGGTGGCATAGTCTGAAGTGTCCATTTCTAACTGAAACTTCCAATCCTGAGTGGGGAACATAAGAGCCAGTTCAGAAACAAAATCCCACCAAGAATC